TGATTTTAGTAAAACTAAGAAACACCCAATGCACTAAACAATATAAATAAGACACCACCTAAAGGGTGACTGTAATTTTAAGAAATTCCTGAATTAAAATCTTGTGAATCCAGAATTATGATATGTTTCGGTTGTTGTTCAAAAGAACTCATGCTAGATAAGGGATAACCACCTTTCTGAGTACCTACCAAAAAAGCATGAGGAAGAAAGGTAGGACTTCGCCAATTCAGAGGTGGTTTACATCATGACTGAAACGAATTTTCCATCACCATCCTGATTTGTCTTCTTTTCACATCTGATTTTCCCTGCACCCATTGCTTCCCATTTCTCCCCCAACTCCCCTGATGAATAATTGGACGAGAAGAAAAAAAAAAAAAAAAAACCAGTAAAGCTTTGCACAAATTCATTATTTATATTATATTACATAAGACTCCATTTACAAATATTTATTCATTGTTTAGATTATACACAGTGTCTTATTCCCTCTCAATCAAAACACCAAACACCTCGTGGCCTTTGATGAGCAAAGACAACTCCAACCGTAACCACCAAGAAACTCACTCTTTACATATTGCACTACTCAAAACTTCATCTTATACCTCGATTTACATTATAGCGAACCGTGCGGAATCTGCTGGGGAAGCCTGAATCGGACTTGAGAAGTCGGGGATCGAACCGCCACGCCGTGCCAGCAGATACCCCCCGTGCATATCTCGCTGACGTGATCGCGCGAAATTGCATAAGCGGCTTTACGGGAGACGTCCCACGTGAGCGTCGCAACCAGAATGGTGCCGATGACGGCGGTGGAGAGAATCAGGACGAAGGAAGCACTGAAGCTCTGCCCACACACCAACCCGTAAGCCTTGATCCCTGCAATCACGGCTACGTAGATCGTAGTCAAATTCCCAATCACCGCATCAGATATCGCCATGACTCTTATCTATGCCGACGATGATGATTATGCATAACAGTAAAGTAAGATAAGGGGGTCGTGTTGGGGTGACCAGATAATCAGAGCTCTGGTAGGCGAGGGCAGATTTTGTAGCAGGTATTGGGAATGTCGGGGATGGATTTAATAGGAGCCAAAATTACCCTTTCTTTTTTTAAAAAAAAATATGAATCTAAAATTACGAAAATGACCTCGTGTTTATGGTAATATAACTCTTGACTCAGTGTGCGATTATTAGGTACCGAATGAGTTGGTAAGATTTGTAAATATAATTTATTAATTTTAATTTTTTTTTTCCAAACTAAAAGATGAACATAATTTAAATTTAAAATCACACAAGTGGGTATTACTTCTTCTATAAATTTTACATTAAATTTTTTTTAAAAAAAAAATTGAATTGACTTAATTAAAAAATAATAATTTTAAAAAAATGAGAATTATTTGATGTTTAATTTTATTGGGTGTTGCGAAGGTATTATTGGGATTGTGGTGACCCACTACCAAGAATTAAGAGATATGAATGAGGAAATCACAAACTTGCTTTTGCTTAAAGTTTGGTCATACAAACACAGAGTAATCATCAATGGAAAGAAAGCACGATGGGAAGGAAATTCTTTACCATGTTACCCAACTCGCTGGCAATATCATTACCCTTTTGTTTTTTACTGCATCTTATTACTTTTTTACCTTCTCATCAGAATCTGTATATATATATATATATATATATATATATATGTGTGTGTGTAAATGGAGATTGATGCGTGGTTGAAAACAAGTTAAATGGTAGTCGTATAAAACTCGTAATTGCGGTTCTCGATTCATAGAGATGCGTGGAGAAGATGTGCATGAACCTCAATAAGTAAGGATTGATCCACCTTATGAATGCACATTCATCTTCTGGTAATTAATAATAATTATAGATGTGTATAGAAACTAGCATTAAGGTGGATATGTTTTTTATTTGCCACACATATATTATATATATATATATATATATATAATAAAGTTTGAAAAAAAAAATATTTGAGGACTACACTCGTAAAAAAGGTGACGGAAGGTACGTGGAACCCGAATTTCTCTATTTTATCAAAGTAAATTAAATAATTATTTACTTTAAATAACTCGTAATAATTACTTATGGATAACGCATTTTCTTGGGATAATAATAATTACTTACGCATAAAACATTTTCTCGGACAATATAATTATTGAATAATTCTATTTTATTGAACATCGCCGGGTATTTGACGCATAATTATATTTCATAGACTTAAAAGATTGAAATTTCCGCGGCCTGCACATGATTCTCACGTGATCCGTGCCCTGGAACTATCTAGAAACACGTTGGATCTTTTACGTGGAGCAACGAATGAGCCCCAATAGAATTCTGCCACGTTTAAGGTACGAATAACAACCGTCAGATCGTCCAGCATGTTAATTTCGTATAATCGGTCGGCCGAGAAGACTTGGGTTTTTCAAATCGGTCTCGTGGGGCCGGCAAGACACCATCAATTCTCCACGTCAACGAAACAATTCGTATCCAATGAAATGCGGACACGTGTTGTATCAGAACTACAAACCCGTCTGATCGTCCATGCTGGCAGCATCAGACCAATCCAAACGGCTTTCGCGTCGTAGCGGAACACCAGTGAGATCTATTCTTCTTTTACCTCCCCGCTATATAACTCGACGGAACGAAGAGCGCATGATAGGTTAGCTAATTTACTGATCGTATCACTGAGCTAAGCTAGGAGGAATTTCCGGCTCTACAATGAGGAAGTGGACGATCCCGTCCGTTCTGTTTCTCCTCTGTCTTCTCTTTCTCCTACCGGATCAAGGTGCGTTAGGGTTCTTCTTGTTCGTTTATTTAGTGTAAAATTGTATGTTCTTCTTCTTCCTCATTTTTCTTATAATAACTCAAAGCCGGATGCGCTCCGCATTTACACAGGAACTTGCAGTAGATGTAGTTTCAATTTCATGATTCAAATCTCTACTAGCATTAGTAATCTGTTGCTGTTTTTAAATTGAAATGATCATTTGTATTTTCATTTTTGTTATTTTCTAAAACCGTCTTAAGTTAAGATCCGAATCTCTGTTCGGATATGCCGATACTTTTGAGGGCATTGCGTTTCTTTAATTTTGATTTCGGTTTGATTTAAGGTGCAAATCTCTTAATAAAGTGATTAGAATTTTAAGATTTTTTTGCTGCTTATTGATAAGTTTGCTATGGAATCTATGGTTATGCAGGGAGAAAGTTACAAGCAAATGCAGAGGATAGTTCCGATGAGGTCGTAGATCCTCCAAAGGTTGAGGAGAAAATTGGTGCCGTTCCAAGCGGTTTATCTACTGATTCTGATGTGGCAAAAAGGTTCGTGAACTTTTATTCAATCTTGGACATCTTTCTCTTATTTTTTCCTTGTCTTTGGCGAGTTCCTACTAAATTGTACAATATTTGAATTTTGGTTCAGGGAGTCTGAATCGATCTCCAAGAGGACCCTTCGCGGTAACGCGGAGAAGTTTGAGTTCCAGGCTGAGGTTTCTCGGCTCATGGATATCATTATCAACTCTCTTTACAGCAACAAGGATATTTTCCTCAGGGAGTTGATTTCCAATGCTTCTGATGTAAGAATAGACTTGTCCTGCTTTGGAATTTCAGTTTGCTAGAATTGTTACTTTTGAACAGCTATCTGAATCTTAAATTTTCGTTTACCAGGCCCTTGACAAGATTAGGTTCCTTTCCCTCACTGACAAAGAGGTCCTTGGCGAAGGTGACAATGCTAAGCTTGATATCCAGGTTGGTTAACTATGTAGCTTTACATATTACCAGTAGGGAATCACTATAGGATAGTATAATGATGCAGTTGTTCTTTCGTGGTAGTTATTTTATTATTTAATTTTTATTCATGGTACTTCATACGAAGTCCAGCATTATAAATGATGTTATTTTATGCTGTGGCATTTATTTTTATTGCACTTATGTTTGATCATATGTTTTGTCTGAGTCTAATAACATGATAATATGCAGATTAAGTTAGACAAAGAGAAGAAAATTCTTTCCCTGCGTGACAGAGGTATAGGGATGACAAAGGAAGATTTGATCAAGAACCTGGGTACCATTGCCAAGTCTGGAACTTCAGGTAAGCATCTTGTCTAATGGTCAATTTCATTTATGTGTGAC